TGATTAGGCCATGGTGTTTGGTCCTAACCTTGTGTTCCTAATTTCCTAACTTGATCATTTGTTGTCTAACCTAAATTAAGCATTAGGAACTCATTAAGCATAGAAGAACAATTTAAACAACCAAGCATGTATCTAATCCCTGTTGTCTAATGTCCATACATACTTTTCTTATTCATAGTTCAATTCGAATCAAAGCATGGTGTCTACTCTTGATTCAAACCAAGATAGCTAATATACAAGTTCTAATGGTGATCAATCATCCAAACAAGCATATTAATTGATAAGCATAATGAATAAGAACATGAATCATGAATCACACTTGAAACTCAAAACTTCAACTTATAAACCCAGAATATTCATGTTAGGTTACATCGAAGTCCTAGTTATGAATTTAGCTACTCATAATGGAAATGAAACTTAAACAGAAATGAGAAAACATAATGAATGTAATAAGAGTGGAAAAACCCATTTCTGAAGTTACTTGTGGTGTCCAAGGCTTCTCCAAGTGCTTCTCCACACCTAATGCTGCTCCAAGAGCTTTCTCACATCTAGAGTATGGCAACTAAAGAGGTGATTTGGGATGAGTTTGGGTGAGTGGTGATGGCAGAGAAAGAGGAAATTCGTAGGGAAATGGAAGGAAGGCTTGTTGGAGCTGCTTTAGTGATTTGGGACTGAATGGAGTGTTTGGGGAAGGATTGAAGTGTTAGAGGATGGCTGAAGTGAATTTTAGGCTGAATAGAGTGAATCCCTTTGAATGAGTGTGCATCACTCTATTTATAGAGTGCAATTTCGTGCTCCCCTTTGGCTGGCGAAGCACACCCATTCCTAGCTGTTCCCAATTGCATGAGCTGCCCATTATGTTCCCATGCTGCTTTGTCTCCCATGTTGGTTGATTTGATGTGTAGCCCATGCCTCTAGGAACGTCAGCTGCCCATGCCTCTAGGAATGTCAGTTGCCCATGCCTTTTGAGTTTCCATGCTGTCTTGTCTCCTATGTGTGGCTGACTTGATGTGAATTTTGATGGGCCCACGAATTGGGATCAATTTAATCAATTGATACATTTGAGTAGTCCATTTTGAAGTTCAGACTCTCATCTTTCCAACCACATATTATTTGGGCCAATCCAAGTTGGGAGAAAGACGTTAAGGTCGAAATGAGTTGCTAACTCAGTCTGCTCGTTTTTGCACCATTTTGCATCTTTTCTTATCCAAAGGCACCATTGCTACCTAAGGCTCAATGAACTGAATGATAAACAGAAAAGGGATTAAAAGCACACGTTTGACTCAATAACATAACCAAATCATAAGTTAGAAGGGTACAAAATGATATGCAATTGTGAACTGATCAAATACCCCCAGACCTAGATTTTGCTAGTCCCCGAGCAAAACAACAGAAAACAAAGTTAAAAACAAAACAAGAAGTTAACTAAACCACTTCTGTAGGTAAATCGATTGCATTGAGCATATGCAACAAGCCTTTAAACCTCTAGGCATCCCTAGTAGGAGGAGTTGTGTCTCCTGAGGGTTTAACAGAAACGATACCCACAAACGCTTTACTGACTCTACAAAACAAAAGGTTAGAAAACTAACTTTGAAAACGACTAATGAAAATGAAAGAAAACTTTAATCATACCTCCAACACCAGAGAGTTGCCAAGATAGATGATCAATAAGTGTGTAAAGTGGAAGCTATAGCTCAAAGGCACACGGCTTCAAAGTAAACATACTCAAATCTTGAAGGAAGAACACGCTTCAACTCTAATTCTCACATATAGCACTCAATCACTCAGAACCTATGGTTTTATTCTCTCAAACAAGCATAGGTGAGTATATAAAATAAAAGCACAGAAGAACATGCTTCAACTCTAATTCTCACATATAGCACTCAATCACTCAGAACCTATGGTTTTATTCTCTCAAACAAGCATAAGTGAGTATATGAAATAGAAGCAGGATATTTGGTTAGATCTCATGAAGGGAATCAAATACTAAGAATAGAGATACACACATACATACCAGCACCCATGAATACATCCTCAAAGATCAGCTAGGTCTTTCACAAGGTTGTAATGAATGGCTAAGGTTAGGGGAAATGGAAGAGTTGGAAAGAACACAATTAACTTAAGAACATACCAAGGTTGCATTCTTCATTGATCTGCAAGGTATCATTGATTTAGAATGATATGGCTGCAACTTCATAGCATCATCTGGCATAGACCTTATATTTCACATTTAGATCAAATCGAAACACTTTCTCCGAAACACTTTCTCTTTATCTTTCTTATTTGCTGACTTGATCTACTTCTTCTTTAACTTCATTGCACAGATTCACACCAATTTACATTTATGCATGTGGCAGCAACTTCCTTGCTTCAAACTTTATCTTGGCACACCTTGGTATATTTCTAAGCTATAGGGTATGGCTATAATAGGTTAAATATCTCAGATTGAGATACAAGGTTAGGGGAATTATGAGGGTGATAGAAGAAAAATGCTTGAAGTGTTTGGCTGCAAGAGAGCTGATGGAACACACGAATGGGTAGGGTGCAAAGAAAGCACAGAGAATGGTTATACACACATAGCCTAGCATCACTTCAATGAGTTCATTCATGAATGAGAGCACGCACCTGATATCTGCAAAGAGAATCATCCTTAGTATTCAATCAAAATGGAACAATGAGATCATTTATAGTGAATTGAAGAAAATAAGTAGAGATGAGGAATAGAAACACTTTAAACCCTCTCAAGAATGCAATTAGGCTCGAAATAGCTCACTAGGGTAGTCTCCACTATTCTCCTTCAATAATCTGAGCATGGTACCTTAGCCACCAGAATTCTAAGAGCAAAAGCTTTGTGAAGTGTAAAATTTCTGATATGAAAATCTCAATGGCAGCTCCATAGCATTGATTGTATGAAATTTAAAAAAAAATAAAAATAAATAAAAATAAAAATAGTGACAAGCGGACGAAAATTGAAAACACAAATGAACAAAAATAAAATTGTAAACACAAATGAACAAAAATTGAAAACCTCCCCCCCAGACCTGAATTGAACATTGTCCTCAATGTTAAAGCATAACAAAGATGAGTGAGAACATGTAAATAATAAGGGGAAAGTTTAAGACCAAGGATTAGAGAAACTCCCTCTTGATGCGATTAGGTCGACAGCTACCAAGCACCTTATTCTTCAACACATGGGTTGCCTCCCAAGAAGCGCCTTAGTTAATGTCTTGGCAAGACATTATGCGATTAGCTAACTTGATTGTACGAATGGAAGATGATCCACCACATGACCAGTTTGAATTCCAACTGACACTCCCTCATAGAATGGCTTTAAACGTTGTCCATTTACTTTGAAAGTCGAGCCATCTTTAGGGTTTTGAATCTCCACAGCTCCATAGGGAGAAACATTGACCACGGTGAATGGGCCAAGCCACCTAGACTTCAATTTTCCTGGAAAGAGACGCAAACGTGAGTTAAACAAAAGAACTGACATACCTTTGGTGAACTCTTTCCGTTGAATGTTCTTGTCATGGTAACTCTTGGTTCGTTCTTTGTAAAGCCTTGCATTCTCATAGGACTCATGTCTAATTTCTTCCAATTCATTGAGCTGAAACTTTCTAACATGGCCGGCCTTGTCCAGATCAAAATTCAACTTCTTGATGGCCCAAAAAGCATTGTGTTCAAGCTCCATTGGCAAGTGACAGGCTTTCCCAAACACAAGACGATAAGGGCTCATTCCGATGGGAGTCTTATATGCAGTCCTATAAGCCCATAATGCATCATTGAGCTTGGCAGCCCAATCTTTCCTTGTACTATTCACCACCTTCTCTAGGATCTGCTTAATTTCTCTGTTGCTTATTTCTACTTGACCAGAAGTTTGAGGATGATATGGTGTAGAGACTCGGTGGGTGATGTTGTACTTCTTCATGAGTGCTTCAAATGGCTTGTTGCAGAAGTGGCTGCCTCCATCACTAATGACAGCCCTTGGAGTACCAAACCTTGTGAAAATATTGTTCCTCAGGAACTTCAGCACCACCTTATGATCATTGGTTTTGGTGGCTATGGCTTCCACCCATTTAGACACATAATCAACAGCAACAAGTATGTAGGTATATCCAAAGGAAGATGGGAATGGTCCCATGAAATCAATACCCCATACATCGAAGAGTTCCACAAAGAGTATGTTCTTCAATGGCATTTCGTTCATGCGGCTTATGTTTCCCATCCTTTGACACCTATCACACTTAACACAAAAATTGAATGCATCTTTGAATAGAGTAGGCCAAAAGAAACCTGATTGCAAAATTTTAAGTGCTGTTTTCTTAGCTCCACAAGCCAATTCACAGATTTCAAGGACCAATCGATATCGGATTGAGTCCAAAACTTGGGGAACACCGTAATATGGTGGGAGGAGTCATTTGGTGAGTTTTGAATGAAATCAAATGGCTAATGCTGTGCAATACACCATCCACTTCATTTTAGAACAAACTTCGTACGTACCTGAATTGTTCGATTTCAAGGACCAATCGATATCGATTGAGTCCAAAACTTGGGGAACACCGTAATTTGGTGGGAGGAGTCATTTGGTGAGTGTTGAGTAAAATCAAATGGCTAATGCTGTGCAATACACCATGCACTTCATTTCAGAACGAACTTCGTACGAACCTAAATTGTCCGATTTCAGGGACCAATCGATATCGGATTGAGTCCTAAACTTGGGGAACAATATAATATGGTGGGAGGAGTCATTTGGTTGGTTTTGAGTGAAACCCAATCTCTAGAACTATGGAATACACCAACCACTCCATTTCAGAACGAACCGCGTACGAACCTGAATTGTTCGATTTCATGGACCAATCGATATCGGATTGAGTCCAAAGCTTGGGGAATATCTTAATATGGTGGGAGGAATCATTTGGTTGCTTTTGAGTGAAATCCAATCTCTAGAACTATGGAATACACCAACAACTCCATTTCAGTTGGGCATCACCAACAAGGTAAGAACGAAATTTTTCTAAAGCAAAAACCACAGCAAGCAACTCCTTCTCTGTTGTGGAGTAATTGAGTTGGGCATCACTCAAGGTCCGGCTCGCATAATGAATCACATGGGGAAGCTTGTTCTTCTTTTGACCTAGAACTGCACCAATAGCAAAGTCAGAGGCATCACATTATTTCAAATGGTAAAGACCAATCTGGAGCTATGATAATAGGGGCTGAAGTTAGCTCTTTCTTCAAGGTCGTAAAAGCTTCCATGCAAGTTTCGTCAAACTCAAAAACAGCATCCTTAGCAAGGAGATTACACAATGGTCTTGAAATGCTCGAAAAATTTTTGATGAACCTTCTATAGAATCCGGCATGGCCCAGAAAGCTTCTAACTCTTTTAACAGAGGAAGGGGGTGGTAGATTTGAGATGATATTTATCTTGGCTTTGTCCACTTCAATTCCCTTACTTGAAACAACGTGGCCTAGCACAATTCCTTGTCTTACCATGAAGTGACACTTCTCCTAATTCAAAATCAGCTTTGTTTCCTGACATCTTTTAAGCACTAGAGACAAGTGGTGAAGACAATCATCAAAAGATGAACCAAAAACTGAAAAATCATCCATAAATACCTCCATGAATCGTTCCACCATATCAGAAAAGATTGCCATCATGCATCTTTGGAAAGTTGCTGGAGCATTGCACAAACCAAATGGCATCCTTCTATAAGAAAACGTACCAAATGGGCATGTGAACGTGGTTTTCTCTTGGTCTTCCGGAGCAATGGGAATTTGATTATAACTTGAAAATCCATCAAGAAAACAGTAGTAAGCATGGCCAGATAAACGGTCAAGTATTTGATCAATGAAAGGCAAGGGAAAATGATATTTTCTCATGGATGTGTTTAACTTCCTGTAATCAATGCAAGTTCTCCAACCGGTGATAGTTCGTGTTGGAACTAGCTCATTCTTCTCATTCTTTACAACGGTGATTCCGGACTTCTTTGGAACAACTTGCACAGGACTCACCCACTTAGAATCTGAAATTGGGTAGATGATTCCCACATCAAGTAGCTTTAAAACTTCAGCCCTAACCACCTCTTTCATGTTGGGATTTAGCCTTCTTTGTGCATCACGAGATGGTTTGCTGTCTTCTTCCATTAAAATTCGGTGCATGCACATGCTTGGACTAATTCCTTTGATGTCTGCTATGGTCCATCCAAGGGCTGTTTTATGCTCTTTCAGAACTTCAATTAAGCTGTCCTCTTCATGTGAGGTGAGACCTGCAGCAATTATAACAGGGAGAGTTTCATTAGCACCCAAATAAGTATGTTTAAGATGATTGGGTAGAGGTTTAAGTTCTAGCTTTGGTGGGGTAATAATGGATGGCTCCAATTTTGTGGAGGATGGTCCAAGAGGCTCGAGCGGTGGCCTAAAGGATGGTGGGTATGGCTGAAACACTTCTAAGGCAGCCATCACCTCTTGGAACTCTGATTCATAGAGATCTTCCTCTTCTTGTGTTAGGACCGCTTCTAGAGCATCATTAGACTTTTTCTGCATAATTTTAGAAGAAACCTCATGATCCACAACATCAATTGAAAAACAAGTATCAAGAGTGATAGAAGGTTGAGAGAGAGCATCAAACACTTTAAATTCAACAGTTTCACCCAAAACAGTCATGGAGAGGGTGCCATCTTTCACTTTGATGATTGTGTCTGCAGTGGCCATGAATGGTCGCCCGAGGAGAATGGGATCAACGCGGTTTCCATATGGGTTATCCTCCATATCCATCACTACAAAATCAGCCGGAAGAATGAGTGTATTAACTTGAACTAAAATATCTTCTACAATACCTTTAGGATATTTGATAGAATGATCAGCTAGTTCAAGACGAATTGAGGTTTTCTTTATCCCTTCTAAGCCAAGCTCCTGATAAACTGAATATGGCATTACATTGATGCTTGCTCCCAAGTCCAACATGGCTCTTCCAACCGTCTTATCTCCGATGTTAATGGGAATGTCAAAGCTGCCAGGATCTTCTAGTTTTGGTGGAAGCTTCCTTTGCAACACAGCACTCACATTCTTGTTGAGCTTTACTTCTTCACTTGGAGCAAAATTAAGCTTGTGAGTCATCAAGTGCTTGATGAACTTTCCATATGCAGGAATCTGTTTAACAACATCAAGCAAGGGAAAATTGATATTAACTTTACTCAAAATATCATAAATCTCTTTAAAAGCCTTATCTTGATTTGCCTTCTTCAAACGGCCTGGAAATGGAATCGGTGGAATATATGGAGGAGGTGGGATGTATCTATCTTGATGAAGATGCGATGGCACAAATTTGTCATCTCTTTTATGCAATTGAAATGGATTGGGTTCCTGAGAATCAGATTTGGCCTTAGGAGCAGATTGGGACGTTTTGGGTTGTTCTCCATCTATAGCTGTGGTTTCCTCTTCATCTTCATCCTCTACAACCACAACATCATTTGATAGATCAGAACCAACTTTGTTATCAACAATCTTACCTGATCTGAGCACATGAACGGCCTTGGCTTCTTGGTTTTTTGGATTGATCACGGTTTGGCTTGGCCATTTCCCAGGTTCTCTTTGAGCTATTTCGGTAGCTATCTGGCCTAATTGGACTTCCAACTTGGAGATGGCAGCTTGTGTAGTTTGCTGGAAATTGGATTGGTTGATTGCCATTTGCTTCACTATATCCTCCAACGATGATGATTGTTGTGGCCTTTGGAGTGAAGGGGGATTCGCTTGATTCTGTGTATTCCTCCATGAAAAGTTTGGATGATTCCTCCAACCTGGATTATAACTTTGAGAATATGGATCATTGATTGGACCTCGGTTGTAGGAATTCACCAACTTAGCTTGCTCTTGCACAAATTCTGGATATGCAGCCCCAAGGGGACAAGAAATGGTAGGATGATCATGAGTTTCACAGATGCTACACACTTCCTTTGAAGGGTTTCTTGAGTTCAATGCAAGGAGGGCATCAAGCTTTTGTTCCAATTTGGAAATCTGCACACTGGAAGAATCATTAGAACCACCAGCAATACGTTTACCTCTTGTATCGGTGTGTTGGGTCTCCATTGCTATCTCCTCAAAGAGTTCATATGTTTCTTCTGGAGTCTTAGTCTTATAAGAACCACCTGCAAAATTAGTGACAATATTATGGCTAGAGGGGGTTAGTCCTTTATAAAACATACGCATCTGAAGCTTCAATGGAATCCCATGATGAGGACATTGATTGAGCAGCCCATTGAATCTCTCCCATGCTTCACAAAATGACTCATCATCTTGTTGTGCAAATAGTAAGATCTTGTCCCTAAGCATGTCGGTTTTTTGCGTGGAGAAGTATTTCTCTAAGAACTTCTTTTGAATGGCTCCCCAAGTCGTGAGTGAACTAGGCTTCAAAGAATTCAACCAATATTTCGCCTTGTCTTTCAAAGTGTAAGGAAACACTCTCATTCGAAGTTGATCTTCCGTCACACCTGTCAAGGGAAAAGAGCTCACAGCATTAAAAATATCCTTTATATGGGTTAATGGATCTTCATTAGGTAAACCATAAAAGGAAGGCAACATATTAAGATGAGAAGATTTAAGCTCATAGTTTCGAGCTGCGGTGGGCAGCAAGATGCTTGAAGGGGATGCTGGAATTGTTGGGATATCAAGGTCTCCCATGAACTCATTGGCAGCCATCTCTTCTTCTTCTTCTTGGTCTGAACTTGATTCCGAATTTGAAGGTGAAGAACCTGGGAGGTCAGTGTGGATAGCAAGACCTTCAAATGTGGCAATGGCTTGCTCTTTCGCAGTAGCCAACTCTCTTTCTAGACGATTCTGAATTTCAGAGATCACCCGGTTTGGTTGCAAAGAGGGTCTTGTGTTCAAAGATCTCGAACGTTGGAATGAAGACCTCACTTGTTCAAGTAAGGGATTTCTAGACATAAAATACCTGAAACAGAAAATAACTTGAGTTAATTAGTACTACTAAAAGAATTGATTAGGCCATGGTGTTTGGTCCTAACCTTGTGTTCCTAATTTCCTAACTTGATCATTTGTTGTCTAACCTAAATTAAGCATTAGGAACTCATTAAGCATAGAAGAACAATTTAAACAACCAAGCATGTATCTAATCCCTGTTGTCGAATGTCCATCCATACTTTTCTTATTCATAGTTCAATTCGAATCAAAGCATGGTGTCTACTCTTGATTCAAACCAAGATAGCTAATATACAAGTTCTAATGGTGATCAATCATCCAAACAAGCATATTAATTGATAAGCATAATGAATAAGAACATGAATCATGAATCACACTTGAAACTCAAAACTTCAACTTATAAACCCAGAATATTCATGTTAGGTTACATCGAAGTCCTAGTTATGAATTTAGCTACTCATAATGGAAATGAAACTTAAACAGAAATGAGAAAACATAATGAATGTAATAAGAGTGGAAAAACCCATTTCTGAAGTTACTTGTGGTGTCCAAGGCTTCTCCAAGTGCTTCTCCACACCTAATGCTGCTCCAAGAGCTTCCTCACATCTAGAGTATGGCAACTAAAGAGGTGATTTGGGATGAGTTTGGGTGAGTGGTGATGGCAGAGAAAGAGGAAATTCGTAGGGAAATGGAAGGAAGGCTTGTTGGAGCTGCTTTAGTGATTTGGGACTGAATGGAGTGTTTGGGGAAGGATTGAAGTGTTAGAGGATGGCTGAAGTGAATTTTAGGTTGAATGGAGTGAATCCCCTTGAATGAGTGTGCATCACTCTATTTATAGAGTGCAATTTCGTGCTCCCCTTTGGCTGGTGAAGCACACCCATTCCTAGCTGTTCCCAATTGCCTGAGCTGCCCATTAGGTTCCCATGCTGCTTTTTCTCCCATGTTGGCTGATTTGATGTGTAGTCCATGCCTCTAGGAATGTCAGCTGCCCATGCCTCTCGGAATGTCAGCTGCCCATGCCTTCTGAGTTTCCATGCTGTTGATTTGATGTGTA